GCTCCCGGCGTGCGTGGTCCTGGGGCCAGGCGGTCGGGGTTTCGGGTTCCCTGACTCACAAGGGCCTGGGGTGGCGTTGCATGCGCCCATGGAAGTCGTCCTGGGGGGAGAAACTTCCGGAATGTTCTGGAACGCCCACGTCCGAGTTCGGGTCCAATTGGGAAAATGGGTCACACGAGCTGTTTCAAAGGTGGGGATGGGGGCCCTGGCCGGTGTTGCTCAGCCGGTAGAGCATCGTCCTGCAGACCGAGGGGTCCCAGGTTCGATTCCGGTCAAGGGCACAAACCCCGGGTGCAGGCTCCCCAGCCTGGGCCCTGGTCGGGTGCGTGCAGGAGGCAACCCATCGATGTGTCTCTCTCCCTCTCCCCCACTCTCTGTGAATCAATGGAAAACGTCCTCAGTGAGGATTAAAGGTGGGGATGGGACAGGGAACTGAGGCTGAGCAGCCGTGTGGCCACGTACACGGGGCCGACTGCAGGCATGGCCACTGCCAGGTTGGCAGCCGCAGGGAGGGCACCAGAGCCCCTGGCGTTCAGAAGGGCCCCGCGGGGCAGCGCGGGCACCCGGGAGGTAAATTTTTTAAAATATATTTTTGTTGATTTCAGAGAGGAAGGGAGAGGGAGAGAGAAACAGAAATATCAATAATGAGAGCTAATCACTGATCCGCTGCCTCCTGCATATGTCCCCTATTGGGGATCGAGCCTGCGACCTGGTATGTGCCCTGTGACTGAAATCGAACCTGGGAGGGATCCTTCAGTCTTCAGGATGACTTTTTATCCACTGAGCCAGTTAGGGCTGTCCAGTTGTTAACACTTTTGCTTTATTAATAACTTTCTCCAAGTAAGGGATTCTGACTATTTTTTGTTTCTCACCTCCCCTCTTCCTCATTCCCTTGCAAAATCCCAGGAATCTGATTGTAGAGCTGTATCTATTGATTTCCAACCCAACAGCAGAACAGTCTGACGGTCTGACTCAGATGGCAGTAAAACTGCGTGTATAAATAAAATAATTGAATTGTTGGTTTAGTTCGAGTCAAGGTATTCTCTGAAACTCTTGCGAATTTTGATAGGAATTTATAACTATTAAAATTTGAAAGTTACTTTCTAAGTTTTCTAAGATTTAATAGAACCTTTTTTTTTTATCCTA